CGTCAGTGACTAAAAACTGTAGCCTCTCCCTTCAGACTGCCAGTAAAGCTTTGTCTCACCCTCACCTGGGGCTGCAGTTGTAGACCGGCACACCTGTAGCCCGAGATCTCTGACCCTTGTGGACACCTGAAGCAACCCTGTGTCGGAACAGACAGGGTGACAAGGTAGAGAAGCACTTACTGCCTTGTTCCTGTAAACCTGAGTACAGGCAGTGCACAGAAGATTAATTTTTATTTAGTTATTAAATGTCTAAAGGGATGTAAAGCTGTGCAGTTATATACTCTTTTTTTTAGGAGTCTGATTTGGGTCTGCTTTAATTAACATCTACAAGTTGGTTTTAGTTCTCCAGTGTTTACTTGAAAAAGGCTATTTGGTTATAGACAACAAGCAGTGTAAACACCACATTTAAAGGTCCAGTGTGTAACATTTAGGAGGATCTATTAACAGACATTTAATATAATATTCATAGGTATATTTTTATGAGTGTGTAATCACCTGAATAAAAGAATCATTGTGTTTGTATCACCTCAGAATGTTTTTAAAGATATTTCTTGGGCTTTTTATGCTTTTATTTTGATAGGATGGGCGAAGCTAGACAGGAAAGGGGGGAAAGATAGAGAGAGAGGGGGGACGACATGCAGTAAAGTGCCACAGGTTACCTTCTACAGAGATGGTTGAACCACCCATCAACTAAACACTGGCTCTTGAAGGGGCCTTTCGTGCTTTGCTTGAGCTTCATGGCCACCGTAGTTTCTCCTGCACACGTTCTCATTCCCAGGTCGTCAAAAATACAGACGCAAGATGCCACTAAATCCTACACACTGGTCCTTTAAACACCTTGTTGTCTCCTTCAGCAGTATTTAGTACACAGTAATAATGTTGGTAATAACATCTGAGAGAAGTTCCTTATTGTAACTAGGTACTGAAACATAGAAATGTAATAAACAAAATACGATTATTTGTACCTGAATTCTTGAGTTTTCTTTCTTTTGGGTTTTGTTAGTTCGACCAGTTGGTTTTACAAGAAAAAGATGTAAACTATTTGGGCTGAGTGATGATTTATCAACAGTGGAACTGTATTGCGATGATATAATCATAACATGATTATTTTATATACGATTGTGCGGTATATTCATATTGGAAAAGTAACAATATTGTGAAATTGATGCCCAAGTTTAAGTTTTTTTTGTAACTTGGTAACACAATACAACAATTAGTTAATCTACTTATATCAGTTGCTGTGTATAAGGAAGCAGAACAGCTGACAGTAGAAAAACAACCTTAAACTTGATTAATTTGGGGAAGCAAATGAGACATGAATGAGTTTTAATTTGACAGAGACCAAATATTACAATATATTTTAGGGTTTTTATGAAGGATTTTAGTCTTTTTAAACAAGGGTATGGTTTCCAGCTTCTGAATGATCAGAATTCATCTCCAGTGTTAATCCCTGAGATGTGAATTAGGTATGGTTGCAGTTGATGATCAGTCTGTCACTTGTTTTATTGATTCATTGTTTAGTCTATAAACTGTCAGAAAAGAGTAAATCACATAAGAATTCCCCAGAGCCAAAGTTAACATATTTAATGGACTTGTTTTGTCTTCCTAGTAGTCCAAAAACTAAAGATATTTAGTTTAGCAAATATTCACATTTTACAAGCTGGAACAGGTTAATTATTGGATTTAACTTGCAGATTACTTATTTATCAGCTCTAAATTTAGTTTAATCAATATTTGTTTTATGATATGGGTGAATTGATACGGGGCGAATTAGTATCCCAATATTTATAAGTCAAAATATTGAGAAAGATGATCATTT